CACCCCATCGCACAAGCAAGTGGCTATCAGGACTGAGTGGCCGAGTGGATAACGCGATGGCGTTTGAAGCGAGGGTACTGGGTTCGAGTCCCAGAGTGAACATCAACTCTGAGATGCAGGTACATCCAGCTGACGAGTCCCAAATAGGACGAAACGCGCGTCCTGGATTCCACTGCTAGCCACTATCCATCTCTGCTTACCATGCTTGTGAATTAAGGTATATCGAGGCAATACGCACAGTATGCACATATGCCAATTAGAGACTGACCAGTTGCAGTCCTAAACACATCGATGGGAAGATCCAAACAAACAATACTAAGTGAATTCAAACTTCACCCCATCGCACAAGCAAGTGGCTATCAGGACTCAGTGGCCGAGTGGATAACGTGATGGCGTTTGAAGCGAGGGTACTGGGTTCGAGTCCCAGAGTGAACATCAACTCTGAGATGCAGGTACATCCAGCTGACGAGTCCCAAATAGGACGAAACGCGCGTCCTGGATTCCACTGCTAGCCACTATCCATCTCTGCTAACCATGCTTGTGAATTAAGGTATATCGAGGCAATACGCACAGTATGCACATATGCCAATTAGAGACTGACCAGTTGCAGTCCTAAACACATCGATGGGAAGATCCAAACAAACAATACTAAGTGAATTCAAACTTCACCCCATCGCACAAGCAAGTGGCTATCAGGACTCAGTGGCCGAGTGGATAACGCGATGGCGTTTGAAGCGAGGGTACTGGGTTCGAGTCCCAGAGTGAACATCAACTCTGAGATGCAGGTACATCCAGCTGACGAGTCCCAAATAGGACGAAACGCGCGTCCTGGATTCCACTGCTAGCCACTATCCATCTCTGCTTACCATGCTTGTGAATTAAGGTATATCGAGGCAATACGCACAGTATGCACATATGCCAATTAGAGACTGACCAGTTGCAGTCCTAAACACATCGATGGGAAGATCCAAACAAACAATACTAAGTGAATTCAAACTTCACCCCATCGCACAAGCAAGTGGCTATGAGGACTCAGTGGCCGAGTGGATAACGCGATGGCGTTTGAAGCGAGGGTACTGGGTTCGAGTCCCAGAGTGAACATCAACTCTGAGATGCAGGTACATCCAGCTGACGAGTCCCAAATAGGACGAAACGCGCGTCCTGGATTCCACTGCTAGCCACTATCCATCTCTGCTAACCATGCTTGTGAATTAAGGTATATCGAGGCAATACGCACAGTATGCACATATGCCAATTAGAGACTGACCAGTTGCAGTCCTAAACACATCGATGGGAAGATCCAAACAAACAATACTAAGTGAATTCAAACTTCACCCCATCGCACAAGCAAGTGGCTATGAGGACTCAGTGGCCGAGTGGATAACGCGATGGCGTTTGAAGCGAGGGTACTGGGTTCGAGTCCCAGAGTGAACATCAACTCTGAGATGCAGGTACATCCAGCTGACGAGTCCCAAATAGGACGAAACGCGCGTCCTGGATTCCACTGCTAGCCACTATCCATCTCTGCTTACCATGCTTGTGAATTAAGGTATATCGAGGCAATACGCACAGTATGCACATATGCCAATTAGAGACTGACCAGTTGCAGTCCTAAACACATCGATGGGAAGATCCAAACAAACAATACTAAGTGAATTCAAACTTCACCCCATCGCACAAGCAAGTGGCTATCAGGACTCAGTGGCCGAGTGGATAACGCGATGGCGTTTGAAGCGAGGGTACTGGGTTCGAGTCCCAGAGTGAACATCAACTCTGAGATGCAGGTACATCCAGCTGACGAGTCCCAAATAGGACGAAACGCGCGTCCTGGATTCCACTGCTAGCCACTATCCATCTCTGCTTACCATGCTTGTGAATTAAGGTATATCGAGGCAATACGCACAGTATGCACATATGCCAATTAGAGACTGACCAGTTGCAGTCCTAAACACATCGATGGGAAGATCCAAACAAACAATACTAAGTGAATTCAAACTTCACCCCATCGCACAAGCAAGTGGCTATCAGGACTCAGTGGCCGAGTGGATAACGCGATGGCGTTTGAAGCGAGGGTACTGGGTTCGAGTCCCAGAGTGAACATCAACTCTGAGATGCAGGTACATCCAGCTGACGAGTCCCAAATAGGACGAAACGCGCGTCCTGGATTCCACTGCTAGCCACTATCCATCTCTGCTTACCATGCTTGTGAATTAAGGTATATCGAGGCAATACGCACAGTATGCACATATGCCAATTAGAGACTGACCAGTTGCAGTCCTAAACACATCGATGGGAAGATCCAAACAAACAATACTAAGTGAATTCAAACTTCACCCCATCGCACAAGCAAGTGGCTATCAGGACTCAGTGGCCGAGTGGATAACGCGATGGCGTTTGAAGCGAGGGTACTGGGTTCGAGTCCCAGAGTGAACATCAACTCTGAGATGCAGGTACATCCAGCTGACGAGTCCCAAATAGGACGAAACGCGCGTCCTGGATTCCACTGCTAGCCACTATCCATCTCTGCTTACCATGCTTGTGAATTAAGGTATATCGAGGCAATACGCACAGTATGCACATATGCCAATTAGAGACTGACCAGTTGCAGTCCTAAACACATCGATGGGAAGATCCAAACAAACAATACTAAGTGAATTCAAACTTCACCCCATCGCACAAGCAAGTGGCTATCAGGACTCAGTGGCCGAGTGGATAACGCGATGGCGTTTGAAGCGAGGGTACTGGGTTCGAGTCCCAGAGTGAACATCAACTCTGAGATGCAGGTACATCCAGCTGACGAGTCCCAAATAGGACGAAACGCGCGTCCTGGATTCCACTGCTAGCCACTATCCATCTCTGCTTGCCATGCTTGTGAATTAAGGTATATCGAGGCAATACGCACAGTATGCACATATGCCAATTAGAGACTGACCAGTTGCAGTCCTAAACACATCGATGGGAAGATCCAAACAAACAATACTAAGTGAATTCAAACTTCACCCCATCGCACAAGCAAGTGGCTATCAGGACTCAGTGGCCGAGTGGATAACGCGATGGCGTTTGAAGCGAGGGTACTGGGTTCGAGTCCCAGAGTGAACATCAACTCTGAGATGCAGGTACATCCAGCTGACGAGTCCCAAATAGGACGAAACGCGCGTCCTGGATTCCACTGCTAGCCACTATCCATCTCTGCTTACCATGCTTGTGAATTAAGGTATATCGAGGCAATACGCACAGTATGCACATATGCCAATTAGAGACTGACCAGTTGCAGTCCTAAACACATCGATGGGAAGATCCAAACAAACAATACTAAGTGAATTCAAACTTCACCCCATCGCACAAGCAAGTGGCTATCAGGACTCAGTGGCCGAGTGGATAACGCGATGGCGTTTGAAGCGAGGGTACTGGGTTCGAGTCCCAGAGTGAACATCAACTCTGAGATGCAGGTACATCCAGCTGACGAGTCCCAAATAGGACGAAACGCGCGTCCTGGATTCCACTGCTAGCCACTATCCATCTCTGCCTACCATATCCTTGATTTGTTGTGTAAGTACTAGTTTATTTGGGAAAATTATATGTAACCATTTTTAACGCATAACATTATCAAATTCATTAATACATGCCTTATTTTGGCCTTTGTAAAATATAATTATGGACTTGTAACTAATTCAGTTCAGCGCAATGACAGTCCTGTCTATATCAGGGTTTAATATCTAGGGATTTGTTTTTTAGCTATTCAATCACCTACAATCAAGTAGATTACGAATGTAAGATTGAATTAGCAGGATTATTGTCTCAACACAGTATTTTTGTGATGAAATGAGGCAATTTTAATTGCTTTGACCAAAAACGTACGGAGTTTCGAGTGTTTAACTCACATTTAGTTGTTTTTTAAGTTCTAGAACAGTCTGGCTTCATTTGGACATGATACATTACTATAAATACGAGATTGATCAATAGTGATTTCCTCAATAAAAAAATACAAACCCTTCTAGAACCAACTTCGTATCAGTGATCGGATATATTACTTAAAATGAGTGCTTTGAAAAGCTTTTTATAACTGATTATCTAACTCAAAAGTTTCTTGTTGAATACAAGAAATGGGAAGTCAGACTTTCATATGAGCGTTGGGATTGACGATATGCTTCAACCATTTTCAACGGAACATCTTTTCCAGTTGTACCTCTTTAGTAGGTGTTAAGAGTATGATCCTACGACCTTTATAATTTTCCTGTTAATGTTCTGTAGTAAATTCACGCTGAGACATTTATTACAAATCCTACCACGGTGACTTGACTTCATAGTCAATCTCATTTTAATTTAAAGTGTAGATTATGTTTATGATTTTTATTGATAATTGTTTAATTTACACATCGAGGCGAAAGAACTTGTTACGCCTATGGCTTAAATGGATTAATACTTATTCAAGCCTCATAATATAAATTCAAGTGGAGAGTTCATAGTTTTGCTTTAAAGGAACAAGCTTAATCATGTGTGTCGAATCTCTTCTGACAATCACGTTTGGACCAGTAAAATCCAGTTACACTGAGAGATTTAACCTCATGTATCAAATGAAAACAATTGTTAAGTTTATCTGTGACTAGTGTTCATTGAGGCCAGTTTATTGTGTACTACGTCTCGTGTACTCTGAATCCACTTTTTATCTACTCTTCATTGACTAAAGATAGAGCTGGTTGTTAGACCTAATAAAGTTAATGAAAATTAAATTAGCTAGTTGCCTGAGCAGTTAACATCCAACCAATTTCAGATTTGTGTAATATCAGTGCGATCACTCTTTCGTCTTTGAGGCTAATTTTTGGTAAATGTATGCTGATGAATATTCTATAAGTTCTCGTTTCATTTAGTCATTTTTTTCAATTCAAGTAGTAAATTAAGGCTGCGTTTGCGCGTAGTTGTATATTTAACATTAGCACATTTTACTAAAAAGGAATTGAGTGTATTTTATTAGAAACCAACAGTACAATACAATGAAATATTCAACTTCTTGGGGCATTGCATAACCCGAGGAAAGTGTATTTGGCTCCCATCGAGTAATGGCCAACTGAAAGAATAAAACAGTAATTGTCGAAAAGGCATGAGGATTATTTTATTAATATATTAATGGTGACGGAATTTATTTCATATAGAAAGGTTTAGGTATGGTTAAAGATAAGATTGATAATTTATGTTGGATTCTCAAAACATGAATGGTTGATTTTACATATACCAACTCTACTGTCATCTGGTTTACTTCGAGGTGCATACTGACGTATGGAGTCATGCCTTTCGTTTATTTGTTGCGTAAAAACAAAATGGAAACTATGAATCAAAATTCTAAAGAGTAGTTGATTCGGATAGTTATAGTTAAAAGATCAATAGACCTATTGGACAGGAAATGTAACTGGATTTTGTCATATTCATCCCGATTTGAAGCTTTGAGCTTATGTTTTCTAATATCAAGTTGTGCCCCAAGCAAATCGGTAGATAAAACGTACTCAACATGATAGTTCTACAGGCAGATTTGAGAAACGCTTTCGCATTAGAGTAATGATTTTTAGTTTTTTTGCTGTTTCTATGTAAATTATTATGCTTAGCTAGTCCATGTAATTTCACCAGTATGGAGTTTGAAGACGAACTTGTCAAAGGTTTGGTTTCATTAATCATGATTTCTATTATCATTGCTTGCGAGAAATCATAATAGCTAAAGACTAAGCCATGTGAAGAGATGCCAACAGATACTCCTTTACTTTTTGTTTAGATTTCAGTGGTTACTGCTTATTGTCTATTTGTAATGGTTAAAAGCTTTTCATTACGAGTTCTGATTTCACCGAAATCAGAAAATATAGTTTGGTATCTATTGTCATTATTTAAGTGACATGAGCGAATCGACTATTTCTGCGTCAGTTATTTTCTGCAAAAGATATATCAAAAGCTGATGTATTTTAGCGTTAAAGTGTATACCAGTCGTTCCTACATTCAAATTCACCTATTCAAAAGATGTAGGTGATGCTAAGTCCACCAAGTTTTCATGTTTTACAAGATTTGGCGGAAACGTTCCGCTCACTTGAGAAGGAGATGGAGATGTATTGTCAGAATTCATATTGCTGCCGATTGTCATGGCAGGAATAAAAGTCTTCTTTGCTCGTTGAGTGTTACTTATATATCTAATTGGCATAGGCTGGTTTTTGGAGAAATAACTTTTAAGTTACAAGTTGGATGCTCAGGAAGAACTTAGCTAACTGTTAGAAATAATAAGGGGTGGTGGACGAAGACGTGATGGGATAACCAATTTATCGTTTAATGCAAAATTACAGTGTCTTCGTAAAATATAATAACTATACATTAAATACATTATTTGTATATTTTCATTCAGTTTTCCTTCTGTAGTGTAAACTATTTATATTGAAATACATAAGTAGTATGTAGCACCAATCGGAAGTGGAAAACCTGGCAACAGAAAGCTAAGAAGATCGAGTTGAGGAGAATAGAAAGGGAGACAGAAAAAAATTGTGGACTGGAAGAATAATACAGAGTGTGAAGGACAAATGATGGAAGTTTGCAAATGAAGTATTCAGTGTATGGTCCTCATATTTTGCCAAGATATTTTGTAGTTTTGTGTTGACAACAATTTGGTTCTCGCCCACTTATGTCTTCGTTCATCACACTTCCTGTTTTCTTAATTCAGTCTTCTGCTGACAGGTATTCCACTACTGATTTCTGCTAAATTCTACTTGTATATGTGAATATAATTTGCATGCTCCATACAGGAATTACTAATCTGCTTTAGTGCTTCTGAATATCATTGTGTGAATAGAATGGATCAAGTCTCAAGATAAATATGTTAGATGTTCGAAATATTCAGCTACTAGTATTTTAATGGATGAGGTTGGTGAGCTAACTGTATTGCTAAAATTTCCCTTTGCATGTAATTATGAATACAAATTTTAAATGATAACAAAAATTGTTACGGATAATTTTCCGACTCCTGAGAATTTACATATTCCGAATGTACAATACTAAATATCTGACTTAAATGCAAACTGGAAGCTGATAAAATCCTTTTTATACTTTGTGACAAGATATATCCATGGACTTAGTTCACATTCAGACCACACTCTTTCAATGATTACATTTCATTTGTTCTTACGAATAATCAGTTTTGATAACCAATAAACAATGAAATTACATTCAAATGCATTTTATTTGATCTAAACTCTCTCTTAACCATTGCCTAGGGTAACATATATTTTAGCTTTAATTTAACACTCTTTCATTGGAAATACACTACAAATATATCAAAGTATAATAATATACATGTAGGAATATATTATTTTATGGATGAATACTGCTTAATGTAAATATCAGTACCGATAAATGTTTGCACTTACATTTTGTTGGTTTTGGCCGTTCGGTTACCCAAAATCTAAAACCTTCACGAGCTTTCTGATTTAATTTTGTTCTGAAAAACTGCTTCCGTTCTTCTGGTGTCATTCCTTTGGTGTATGGACCACCTTTATGATCAGTAGACTCTCTACTTATTTCCTTTGTACATTTTTCAAAGCCATCTTCATGTTTTGTATCAGCAATTGTTGTTTCTCTTGACATATTTTGTAACTGCGATGCAATAATCTGAGCGCGCATGGTATGCGGGTTGGTTTCTTTCTGATGTCTATCATTCATTTCATTTAGCTGAAAGCGTAAGGTATTATTTGATATTTTTAATTATTTCGATGTGTTGAGAAGTGAGGCAATTACATTTTTGCCAATTGCTTACTATTTTTGAAACTAACTGATGAATTGAAGTGGTCTCATTATCAATTTATTCGTCTTATCTATTTCATTTCACTTTAAGAAAATGTAACACTGCATACGATATGCAAATTATCTAAGAATATTGACTGATTATACTAAATCTTTAAACGTCTACTTTTATCAAAATCTTATGTTCCAATTCATTATAATAAGAAACCTTGTTTTGGAATTCTTAAGCAATATACATACATGAAAGTAGGCGGGTATCCAGTGCACGTTAGTTTTGTTTCTTCCCAGTAACTCAAGCTAGACAATGCTTCCCGAAATCATACAATTAACTAGTAATTTTATTTCATAACATACAATGTTTGACAGTAATAAGTAAAATGAAAATATCACCAATCACCTTATCACGCAAAAGAACCCAATTTATTGTCCCGATTCTTCTAGCTATCATAACAGGATCCGAGTTTTTCCAATGATAGCGCCTAATAAGTATTTTAAAAATAAATGATTGATTTAGGTTATTAATGAATTACAGCTTTTATGAAACAGAAAGTTACAGAGGGTTTACATTTTTCATTACAAACTGGCTAATTAAAAACCACAACAACAACTACTACTATTAATAATAATAATCATAATAATGACAATTATCAGTATATGATATGTTAGACAACACTAAACGGCTTTCGAATATGAGACAGTAAATAACTCCTCAAAGGAAAGACCTGAGAAAGTATTTGGTATTTATGTTAAATCTTAGTTTTGATGAAATTCCACGGGATGAGATGAAGGAGCCTAATCGAGCATGTGTACCAATTATTGGTATCTGCCAGGTAGATAACCAGTATATTAGTCGCATTCTCATTGGTATGTGTGTATTTCATATGTATCGTTCCTGACTATGATTACCAACCTTAACATTCTTGATATTGCCTTACAACAAAGAGGAGACTTGTCATCTCAACGGTTAATTTATTATAAGATTACAGAAAATGGATTATACATGAATTTCAATAACTTTAACCTAGTCTGTCATAAAAACTCCGCCTGTAGCTCCTCCAGGGGCTACTGCCGGTCCCAAGCCCGGGTAAAGGAGGAGGGTTGGGCATGGGGTTAGCGACCCCATCCCGTAGAAAATCAACTCGCTAAAAAAACGCTAACCAGAAAAATTCATTCAAACTCTGCCCTGGGAGTAGAAGGAAAAATGACGTCTCATGATGAAAGCCGAGTTTCTTCGGAAGTCATGAGGCCGATGCACCTTCTTACAACCAGAGCGACAATTTTTATAGGTACATGGAATGTCCGGACAATGTGGGAGACCGGCAGAGTCTTCCAAATTTCTGCGGAAATGAGGAAATACAACCTGGAAGTGCTTGGAATCAGTGAAACACATTGGACGCAGGTTGGACAACAACGACTGTCTTCAGGGGAACTTCTGTTATACTCCGGTCATGAAGAAGAAAATGCCCCACATACACAAGGAGTGGCACTGATGCTGTCTAGAAAAGCACAAAATGCACTTATAGGATGGGAATCTCATGGACCGAGGATCATCAAAGCCTCCTTCAGAACAAAGAGAGAGGGCATTACAATGAACATCATCCAATGCTATGCGCCGACCAACGACTACGATGAAGACGCTAAAAACCAATTCTACGATAGGCTGCAGTCAATCTTTGAGAAGTGCCCAACCAAGGACCTGACCATTCTAATGGGAGATTTCAATGCCAAGGTTGGAAAGGACAACACTGGATACGAAGACGTCATGGGACAACATGGACTGGGAGGAAGGAACGAAAACGGTGAGAGATTTGCAAACCTATGTGCCTTCAATAAACTGGTCATAGGTGGTACCATATTCCCACACAAAAACATACACAAAGCCACTTGGATTTCACCGGATCACACTACACAGAATCAAATCGACCATGTCTGCATCAACAAAAAGTTCAGGAGGACGATGGAGGATGTGAGAACCAGGAGAGGAGCTGATATAGCATCCGATCACCATTTGCTGGTCGCCAAGATGAAACTAAAACTCAAGAAGCACTGGACAATGGCGCGGACAACATCACAAAAGTTTAACACGGCCTTTCTTCGAGATGCTGACAAACTCAACGAATTTAACATAGCCCTCAGCAACAGGTTCCAGGCCTTTCATAACCTACTCAATGAAGAGGGAACCACCATAGAGAGCAGCTGGAAAGGTATCAAGGAGGCAATCGTTTCAACATGTCAGGAGGTTCTGGGCCAAAAGAAGCACCATCACAAGGAATGGATCACTGTTGGTACACTGGATAAAATTGAAGCAAGGAGGAACAAGAAGGTAGCAATCAATATCAGCCGAACAAGAGCAGAAAAAGCCAAGGCACAAGCCGAATACACAGAGGCAAACAAGCAAGTGAAGAGGAGCATCAGGACCGACCGACGTAAATATGTGGAAGATTTAGCGATGACAGCGGAAAAGGCTGCAAGAGAGGGAAACATGAGACAACTGTATGATACAACAAAGAAACTTGCTGGAAATTACCGTCAACCAGAAAGACCAGTGAAAAACAAGGAAGGCAAAGTAATCAACGATATTGAAGAACAACGAAACAGGTGGGTAGAACACTTCAAAGAACTCTTGAATCGACCAGCTCCACTGAACCCACCCAACATCGAAGCAGCACCCACAGACCTCCCAATCGATATTGGCCCACCAACAATTGAATAGATCAGCATGGCCATTAGACAAATCAAGAGTGGCAAAGCAGCGGGACCAGACAACATCCCGGCAGAGGCACTGAAAGCAAATGTAACAGCAACTGCCAAGATACTCCACATCCTCTTCGGTAAGATTTGGGACGAAGAACATGTACCAACAGACTGGAAAGAAGGACTTCTCATCAAGATACCAAAGAAAGGCGATCTGAGCAAGTGCGACAACTACAGAGGCATCACTCTCCTCTCAATACCAGGAAAAGTCTTCAACAGAGTATTGTTAAACAGGATGAAGGATTCCGTGGACGCTCAACTTCGAGATCAACAAGCTGGATTTCGTAAGGATAGATCGTGCACAGATCAAATCGCAACTCTACGTATCATTGTGGAACAATCAATCGAATGGAATTCATCACTGTACATCAACTTCATCGACTACGAGAAGGCATTTGATAGCGTGGACAGGACGACACTGTGGAAGCTTCTTCGACACTACGGTGTGCCTGAGAAGATAGTAAATATCATACGGAACTCCTATGATGGACTAAACTGCCAAATCGTTCACGGAGGACAACTCAGCGACTCGTTCGAGGTAAAGACCGGTGTTAGGCAAGGTTGCCTACTCTCACCCTTTCTCTTTCTCCTGGTGATCGACTGGATTATGAAGACGTCAACATCTGGAGGAATGCACGGGATACAGTGGACAGGCAGGATGCAGCTTGACGATTTAGACTTCGCGGATGATCTGGCTCTTCTATCACAAACGCAACAACAAATGCAGGAGAAAACGACCAGTGTAGCAGCAGCCTCAGCAGCAGTAGGTCTCAATATAAACAAAGGGAAAAGCAAGACTCTCCGATACAACACAATATGCACCAATCAAATTACACTTGACGGAGAAGCTTTGGAGGATGTGGAAATCTTCACATATCTGGGCAGCATCATTGATGAACACGGTGGATCAGATGCAGATGTGAGGGCGAGGATCGGCAAAGCAAGAGCAGCATACCTACAGCTGAAAAACATCTGGAGCTCAAAACAATTGTCAACCAACACCAAGGTTAGAATTTTCAATACAAATGTCAAGACAGTTCTTCTGTATGGGGCAGAGACGTGGAGAACTACGAAAGCCATTATCCAGAAAATACAAGTGTTTATTAACAGCTGTCTACGCAAGATACTTCGGATCCGATGGCCAGACACTATCAGCAACAAGTTACTGTGGGAGAGAACAAACCAGATTCCAGCGGAGGAAGAAATCAGGAAGAAGCGCTGGAAGTGGATTGGGCACACTTTGAGGAAATCACCCAATTGTGTCACAAGACAAGCCCTCACATGGAATCCTGAAGGTCGAAGGAGAAGAGGAAGACCAAAGAACACATTACGCCGAGAAATAGAGACAGACATGAGAAGAATGAACAAGAACTGGAAAAAGCTAGAAAAGAAGGCCCAGGACAGAGTGGGTTGGAGAAAGCTGGTCGGCGGCCTATGCTCCATTGGGAGTAACAGGCGAAAGTAAGTAAGTAAGTAAGTAAGTCTGTCATAAAAGGTATTGGGTCAAAACCACTTTACTACCGGTAAAGTGGAGGAGGGATCGCAAAACACTGAAAGATGCTTATGAAAGAAATGTCATTCGGAAATCTCATTGCTCAGTACTGAACAACTGAAAATTACAGTTTACAGATATCCAAGTTTTCTTCACCTCATCTTTTGAAGTAATGATGCTGAGGTAGGAATAAGTAGAAATCTAAGTATAGAACTAACGGGAATATATCAGACTATTGAATTGATTATCCTATGTAAAAAGATAAATTAGCTTAGGCATCTTGATATTAATAGGCGCCCTGTATGTTTTACTTACAACTATTTATATAAATTTACGTTTATCTACCAAAGAAGTTACGTCAGTATATTATAAATAAACACTTACTTTAGAATTTCACAAAATCTGCTTAAAACGAATGGAAACTTCTAATAACATACACTTAATCATAAGTTCAAAAAGTTAAGAATTGAAAATTATTCATTTTCAGTGTTTGTTAGGGTGATGTTAATTAATGATAACAACTATGAAAACCACTAAAAAGTTACTTTGTAATAGAACTAATATACTCATTTTAAATTCTTGATTTTGTTACTATACTATTGAAACTAATGTTTTGACTTTATGTTTATTGAAATAATTTATTAGAGCAGACCATTTTATATTCATCCAACTTCTGATAAAGTCCTTAATGCTTACATAATTCTGGTTCTTAAAAATGTAGCCGATACTACATATACCCTTATGTTTTTTTAAAGGAATAAAGTGTGGTTTTTCTATTCCATATGTTAAATAACTCCTATTCGAATCTTAAAGTAAGGAATAGCTTCATAAAGTTACTAGCATCTATCTATTGTTTAGGCTTAGTAAAGATAAGTGGAAATCTTGACTTACTAATTAAGATCAATATATTTCAAGTAATTAACAATAAGTAGTAAATAATATAAATCATCATCATCAAGGAATAGTAACACTTACCAGTAAATAACATCTTTTGTTCGAGGTGAATGAGCTCTACGAGTACTCATTCTATTCTTGTTCATCTAATAGACGATGACAAGCTTGAATATTGTAAATAATAAAAGCTAAAAACGATTGTTAACTTTATTTCAACACCATTGACCTTAAAAAATACTCTTAGTATCTTAATGTGCTATAAAAGAAACAAGATTTTGTTGATTTACAAATTAACTTTTCTACGAATCAGAAAACAACTTATTGAAATAAGTGCAAACAATGTCCTCCTATATTATTTTTTTATTTATTCGACAATACAAATTAAATCAATAGTTAATATGTGCTTGTTTGTGTATTGTAGAGAATCAAGGTAGACTCATTATTTATTTCCCGGTAATAGATTTTTTTCATTAAATAAAGTACAAAACGGAAGTAATTTAAGTTAATCTTTTTGGGGAATACACTTAATTTTAAAATAATTTACATTAGTTATCTAATCTTATATCTTATTGCTTTTGAGAAACCCGATGACTAGATACTTTCTCTAAAGTCAGTCAGTCACAATGTAGAACTTCGTACGTACGTACATCAGTTCGAAATTGCTATACCACATTGGCACAGAGATGCAGTTGTCCATTCAAATCCCATAGTGGTAAAAGTAGTGAGAGTATGAGCAGTAATTCGAAAGATTAGGGTTTGAAGATGCATAGTTGCTTATAGTGGTTAGAAGACTCTGCATGTTGTCAGCGTCTTCACCAAATAGAAGTATGTCATCGGCGTATTCTAAGTCAACAAGTGAGCCTCCTGGTAAAAGTTCAACTCCTGGAGATTTAGATGATCAAATTGTTATCTCTAAAAGCATGTCAACAACAAAGTTAAACAAGAATGGCGAGAGTGGACAGCCCTGACGAACACCACCTGAGGTAATCAATTGTGATGGCAGTTCGACATAAGCTCTAACTCGATCAGTTGTGTTCGAGTAGAGAGCCTTTATGAGGTCGATGTACTCTTTTGGTACTCCTTTCAGTGACAAAACCTGCCATAGAACCTCACGATCAACTGAGTCAAATGCCGCCTTAAGGTCAAGAAATACTACGATTGTGGGACGTCTGAATGTGTGTCTATGTTCTAAGACCTGATGTAGTGTGAATATCTGGTCTATACAACCACGTCCAGGTCGAAAACTAGCCTGATTCTCTCTAGTCTGCTCTTCACGAGCTTTGGTTAGACGTCCACGTATTATTGAAGCTAATATTTTAGACACTATATTAGTGAAACTGATCCCAGTGTGATTGTCACAGGAGGACTTTTGTCCTTTCTTATAGACTGGCACAATCAGTGATCGGGATCAAACAGATGGAATTACGCCCAGTTCCCAGATTCTTTCTCTAAAGACTCCATCATTAAAATACTTTGAGTAAAAAGTAGATATGGTTTGATAGAAAATTTTATACCAGATAGCAATTCGTTATTACTTCATTTACATGATGTAGCATGATACTAAACTAGATAATTATTCAGTTTTTTTGTCAAAAAAATGAGTTGTTTGTGGTTTTTATGTGAAGCGGAGGTTAGATGGTTAAAAGATTATATTGCAGGTTCGGACCTCATTCAATGTATTCGCGGAGTTGGAGAATAGTATCATTGGCCCTGATAAAAAATTGTTTTGCTTGGAATTGAGTACATGAACTGGTTCTGAAATATCGAGTCACACTAAGTATTTTTTGACATGATACATGTAATAGTGTTTACTATTTGTATTGACTTGATTTACACTATTATTTTTACTGAGTACACTAAGGAATACAAAACTGTGAATAATATTACTAATTTTTTATTTTAACATGATATTGCACACGTATACTATATCAGGGCACTAGTCAGTAGTTGATTTTTTGAATAGTTAGTGAATTGTCGGATTTTAGATTCCTGGTACTGCTCCAAGTAATTCAAATTACCTGATAAAGAATTGCGAATCCAGTTCTAGTACTTGTAAGTATGTTACCGTTTAACCAGAAATAATCTTTAATCTGTAGCTTTCTCTGTGACATACTGACAAATAACTCAGTACTTAAGATACCAACCATGATACTACAGATCCCTCATCCCAATATTCATTAGTCATTCAAATACATGTCCGATTTCCAAAGCTATTTTATCAATCTTTTGTTTGGTCGTTATCATGAAGCTCATGGCACACAGCTTGCTGAAGTCGGGCAATGTATCAAGGCAAAACAATGAGTCAATAAACGTAGTATGTAGAGTACTGTACCAGACAGAAGATATATCTATTTCTGTTATTTAGATTAGTGATAACATTACGTGCATCTTAGTTTGTATATCAATAAATTCATATAAAATATTAGTATAATGATCGTACAACGAATCTCTCAATGGATTTTGTAAGGTTGACTGAAAAATATCTCATTTCACATTTCTGAACTGAGAGAGAGAACTTAAAACAAGTTTCCCTATGTGATTTTGTACGTTTTATGTTTCCAATGAGCTTAGAGAAAGGGAACTTTACGAATGGATTCTGTTAGGTGATCGGCTTTCTTGTAAGTGATTGAACCCTAATAAAGTAGCACGAATCTTTTGGTCTGCCTGTATTGTTCTGCTTTAAATGTCTTTCTCTTGTTTGTTTGCAGAAAACGTCAATGTTACAGAAGGCTTTACCTATATAAAGACCTATTGCTTATGTGTTTGTTATCGTAAATTCCGTTTTTACTGATATTTTACATTTTTACAGCTTTCACATTCTGAATGGTTTGTCAGCTCATACAGAGTAAACCAGACCATAGATTTAATCAGACTCAACATAATTGGTTTTTTGCTTGAGGTATACAATATAATTTATAAAGGATATATAAAAAATAATCTATTTATTTGGACTTACTCATAAGTAGCGCAGAAATATCTAGTGAAAAATGTAAGTCCTGTAACGATGTGATGCTATGTGAGTAAGTATCAGGTTTTGAGAAGGAATTGACTTCTAATTGAATGTATTTCCTTACATTTAAAATCATGAATTATCAAGGTTATTATGTTTCGACATTTATGGTAAATAAAAGTATATATATTCGATAAAAAACAGAAAAATGGAAGTAAACAGTTATACGTCAGTAACTATTGTGTTACAAGGCAAAAGCAAGACAATATGATATGTTAAAAGTGAGCTTTTTTATCTGTCAAAGCATAAATATTTCGGAAATTTGTCATTTGTAAATCGGGGAAATTATATACAAAATGTTAGGATGATTCGTTGTAAGTTATCAGATTACAATCAATCTAATCATAAAATAAATGGTATAAATAAAGTGTATAGTAGGAGGATTTAGTCTAGTTAATGAAATTAATAATATTAGTGATGATATCGAGAATAATAAGGATGACTTTGTGTGGATATAATGTTTAATAAGAGAGGTGTTGTTAAAATAATTATGGAAAGAAATTCCATTTTCATTGGAAGAGAGGAATATGTAGACTACAAATGAGACAGTGAAGATATCAACAAAAAAGAATTAGGAAGTGAATGGTTTTCAGTGTCCAGTTTAATTATGTAATATCTCAATCGTAGATCAGGGTAAACACAGAGGCTGAAGGAACCTCTTTTGTTCATATAAGTTAGGTCTTCTAGAAGTAATTCGATGGTTTCAGCTATATAGAATAATCGTATTCTTGCTTCCTTATGCAGATTGTCTGGAACTTGATACAAAAAGAGAAAACTCCATCTATTTCAGTATATTTACCAAATACCAAGTGAAAAAGGACAGCGCTGTTAATATATTTCGTGACGCCTTTTCCCAACTATGCAGGTACATGTTTACGAACACGTAAGGATAATGACCTCTAGGTACAGCCTGTGTGAATAGCTCCACAGGAGCAGTTAAATTAGTATGTAAACATATGAGGGTCTATCATGAGTAACCTGTCCTTGATTTATTATGTAATTAATGATTTAGTTTACGAGACCATATGTAGCTTGGAGGCATTAAACAACCTTTTAACGTGTTATGATGAGTTCAGGAAAAGGGTCTCAATGCTGATTGTCATAATTTGCTCTATCTTTATCCGGTTGGCCATTGTTTCTTGATGTAATCTCTAATTGGTTTATTTCATCATCTGCGTTATCCTCAGAGCATAATAGTTTTGATAATTTTTAATATTTCTTCAGGTAAAGTTAATTAGTGGTGAAGACCATCACTGAAATTCTATAAATCTATATTGATGTACGATAAGATATACATATATGCTTTTCGCTTCCTTCATTCTTGACCAAAAAATTGTAGTTTCATAGTAGAAAGTGTGAGTCAATTGAAGCTAGACCACCATGGAAAACCTGGAAACACTGGACGGCCGTTTCGTCCAGGTTTTCCATGGTGGTCTAGCTTCAATTGACTCACGCTTTCTACTATGAAAAATACTAAATCTCCACAAAACCCCTTCTGATAATTAAATTGTAGTTTACTGACTGCTATTTACTATCCATGGAGCTTAATCCATTAATCAATTTTCAGTGATCATGATAAACTGTAGGTTAATTTTCATCTAAGAAAAAGATGAACCTAAGAATTTTTAACAAGTAGTAACTCTCAAATAGTTTTCTCTTCTGCTTGGGGACTCTTCAACATAGTCTTAATCGTTTAATGATAGAGAAAGAAATTTGTTCACCGGTCATTGTTTTTGGAATGTTGAAGCAATTATTAACAAAATCTCTAACTAGTTTTGATATGTTTTGGTATACATTGCCAAAAAGTATCTGCAGACTTCATGAAACCCTTTTCACCTAGGCCTTTTGTCAGATATGTTGTCAGTGAGTTATTTGAAAGTTAAATGACCTTCATTAGACCAAATTGAGTACAGTTAATGATTAGCGACTAAGATTATATATTCATCGCCGATGAAAATTGTTGATGAATCAGCAATTAATTTATGCAGCAAGAATAACGTACGAATAGTGAATGTAAATAGTTTTTTCAGTTAATGTTTTTCTGCGAGTTGTATTCAGCTTTTTATTCTACAAAAAACAGTTAATATCACAATATCATACTATTAATTAACATAAGTATATTCATTTACAAGAACT